TAATAAAATTGTTTAACCCGAAATTCAATCTAATGGGAGTGGTGTGACGTCCTAGCCGCACGTTTAAATTTTAAATAAATAATAAAATTATTATTTGCGTACCTGAGGGGATGTCAGAGAACAAAAAGCGAAAGAAAATTGTCCGTTCATATAGAGAGAGTAATGTTAAGAGAGCATTAGTATTTAGAGGATACCCTATATAAGATTATACGTGTCAATCATCTATACATACATATATGAACATGCATATTTGAAAGAAATCGCTCGTCGTATATGTAAAGAGCAATATTAAATTTAACATTAATATTTTATGTCCACCCTGTATATGGACTACACATGTAAATCGCACATACACACCTATACACATATATACATAAGGTAAAAATTGTGCGTCGTAATAAGAAAATCATTGTTAAAAGATTCCACATCGATATTTTTCGACCACCCGGTATATTAAAATTTATATAAAATAATAGCTATGGATCTCTAGAATAAGTCCTTTTGTTCTTTTAAAAGAGTGTTAATCATTTACGTCGCGGTACGTGAGTGCCGTTTGTGTCGCGCGTGTTCGAGTATTATCAAAGTCGATGCGCGGACGCATAATAAAAAAATTTTTTATTATAGTGTTTTGGAAAGCTCTCGGGATAAGCTATAAGAATATGCAATAAAAAATAGGGGCTTTACATTTAAAAAATTAAAGGTGTCCTTGACTTGACCTTAATGATGCAATCCAAGATCAAACCAATGACACCATCTTATGTTCCCTTCAAAACCATACAAGTTTTGTTCAAAACGTTTTTCTCTAAAATGCTTAGTTTTTGAGAGAAAAGGGGTGTACGGGTGGTCTAGGACACCCTGTATATATAAAATACATACATACAGGGTGTCCCGCAACGTGATGTCCACACTGAAACTGTGTATTCTTTGTGTCATTCTAAGTCAAAAAATCTTAATACACATATGGCCTAAAGTCGCTTGTTTCGAAGTTATAGCGAAAAAACGCAAAAGTAGTTATTTCTCACACTAATGCGAGAAAAGCACCTTTATGACTTACCTTACCGCACTAGTAGTGCGGAAATAACAGACATTACAAAAAATATTGTATGTATGGCATGTGCGGAAGAACGAACTACGTCGCGCATGAAGTTGCCGCATGAACTGAAGCGAATGCGGCAATTTCATACTCGATATAATTCATTGTTTTCCACACCTGCCACACAAGATAATATTAATAAATTGACTGTCGTTTTAAGTGAAAACATCGCATAAACATAGCTTAGAAATTTCTCTTACGTACCAATCATGAGTACATTTTCCAATGAAGAATATGCCGATATTCATTTTATTTATGGTTTCTGTAATGGTAACGCACGTGCAGCAGTAACAGAATATCACCGACGGTTTCCTAATTGCAGAGTACCAGATCGAAGAGTTTTTAGCAATGTCCACCTAAGCATTAAATTTACTGGTAAGGTCCCAAATAAAAATCTTGAGAAACCATTAAGGCGACATCGTCAAGTCGAGGATGCGATACTAGCGGTGGACAGAACTTCTACTATTACTATCAGAAGACTTTCGGCGCAAACTAATGTTTCTAAAACGACAATTTGGAAAATACTGCGTGATTATGATTTATACCCATTTCATTTTATGAATGTTCAAGCTCTTCAATCAAGTGATTATCCTGCACGCGTCAATTGTTGTCACGTGCTTTTAAGAAATCGGCAAATACATACAAAAATTTTATTTACCGACGAAGCTACTTTTACGAGAGACGGCATTACAAATAATAGAAACTCAGACGTTTGGTCACCACGAGAAGAAAATCCTCATGCTATTACTGAAACACATTTTCAAAATCGATATTCAGTGAATATCTGGTGCGGTATAATCGGTAATTGTCTAATAGGGCCCATCATTATTGAAGATCATTTAAATGTTGAACATTTAATTATCAATCAATAATATTATCTTTAATAAATAATATTGTTCTTATTTTATGCAATTTTTTTTTTCGCTATAACTTTGAAACAATCGACTTTCGGGCATATGTGTATCAAAACTTTTTGACTTAGAATGACAAAAAGAATACACAGTTTCCATGTGGACATCACGTTGCGGGACACCCTGTATATTATAACGCACTAAATATGAAAAACTTTATGTATTATAATACCAACATTTTACACACATACATTAGCTCTAAATACCATAAGATTTTATATTAATATTGTAATTAACAGTAAGGAACTAGGAATATAAGAAGGAATATTTTATTCATTGTAATATTTTAAAGTGTCTTAAGACTGTGCATGGTATGCAAGTTAGCCACCGATCGATATTCTTATCCGCCCGCTCGATGAGATAACAGAAGATTGACAGTTTGCAGTTGGCCTTCACCACGGAAGACCAAGGAAGCTGATGCAACGCAGTAGCAACCGTTATTCCCCGTGTGACATCATGCTCCTACCAGGGTGACAACCGTTTGGACACGGAACGATTGGACACCGCTCGATTGGACACGTAGTATTGGACACAGAACGATTGGACACTGCACGATTGGACATAGAGTTATTGGACACCGCACGATTGGACACCGCACAATTGGGCACGCATACTGCACGATTGGACATTGCACGATTGTACACCGCACGATTGGACACTGCACGATTGGACACCGCATTATTGGACACTGCACGATTGGACACCGCATTATTGGAATTGGACACCGCACGATTGGACACCGCACGATTGGACACTGCACGATTGGACACCGCACGGTTGGACACGCACACTGCACGATTGGACACTGCACGATTGGACACCGTACGATTGGACACTGCACGATTGGACACCGCATCATTGGACACTGCACGATTGGACACCGCACGATTGGACAATGCAGGATTGGACACCGCATTATTGGACACTGCACGATTGGACATCGCACAATTGGACGCACTGGGTTCCGCCCCCCCCCCCCTCGGGGGGGCTCCACTATCAAAAAACTAGACACATAGGTTTGCGTTGAACCTCGCTTCGCGTGGAAAGTTGTAAACCTATGTGGAACCTAACTACGCATTAAAAAGTATATGCGTGGAGGCAGTATGTTCGGCCCGCTCCTACGGGGAGGCTCCACTTCCGGAAGATATAACCTAACCCATACCTATTTCTGATTTAAAACTAAAATTTATGCTTCTGCTTGTGCCCTCTTTATGCATAATTACCGGTGTCCAATCGTGCGGTATTCCAATCGTGCAGTGTGCGTGTCCAATTGTGCGGTGTTCAATCGTGCGGTGTCCAATAATTCTGTGTCCAATCATGCAGTGTCCAATCGTTCTGTGTCCAATACTACGTGTCCAATTGAGCGGTATCCAACCGTTCCGTATCCCAACAGGATACGCCCCTCCCACCATGACACACTCCCACTAGCAGCCCAGGGACCCGAGGCAGTCCAGAGCAAGTCCAGCGACCAGTATTACTATTCTGGCAGTTAAACTAATAAGACATATCGTAAACTAATAAGACATATAGTAAACTAATAAGACATATAGTAACATGACTTAGTAATCCGGCGTCCGTGTCGAAAAGCTTTGCACAGTCTAAAAAGACTTCTTTTATACTTCGAGTTTTTCTGACGTTTGTCTAACGTCAGTAATATTAAGTATTTAACTTATAATTAAAATAAAGTGTTATATTCCGTTTCATTACGACTCTTCAATTATTATTATGTTCCGGCTACCTACTTATCCAGAATCAGCCGTCATTATTATTAATAAGCGTATATACTGATATTCATCGCTGGAGGAATCACCATAGGAGGAATCCAACATACAGACATATATTCTTGCATTTATAATAGAATATTCGTAAGTAAGACATTACTTTTATTTTATTTTAGACAGGTTATAATACTTCTGGTCCCCGGTAGACCCGGTGAATGCAGGGTGACCGAAAAAAAAAATAAAACATCTTGAATAATAAGTTGTTGTGCCTCCGTGGAAGCACAGCGAATTTTTGGGGATCAATTCTTGGGGACAATTTTGTAGTAGTTGTAGAAATAGTCATTTATTCGTACACATCGGCTTTAAATCTTCTTGTCTTTCTCGCACTTCAACTCGGCTTATCGTGGTATAGAATTGCTTCGCGTGCCTGATATCGCGGCTGCCGTCGCGAGATCAGCTGGGACGCTCTTTTTATTAAAATGATTTCAATTGTCCGTCTCGCGGTTGCTCTTTATTAAATTTTTATGTGCTGTATAATTGTATGAATATAACTGTTTCGGGTGGTTTTGTGATTAAGACTGCCTAGCGCTCGTTCGAGGTGGGTAGTTTTATCACCTCCTGTTCGATTAGTTTTTTGGAGGGGATCGCTTAGCGACAGGACCATAGGTGGTCGTGTCGCTCGATTTTGGGTGGAAAAACCCCGGATGCAAGCTACGTATATTCTTTGCTTGCATTTCCGGCGTATCGTTCTTCGAGTCTCGCGAACGCGTGGCCTCCGCGCGTGGCTTGCTTTGTCAGCGATTGCGCTCGTAACTTTATACGTCTTCCTCGGCTTCGAGTTATAGTCGGAAGACGTTAAATAATATTTAATAATTAATAATTATGCTAATTTGGTTATAGCCGTTTTGGGCTATAACAATATCAATACTAGACAATATTTTGCATAGAATTAATTGCTGTTGTTACTTGAACGTGGTCCAACCCCTGAAAACCCGGTTGCCGAGCATATATCATTGGCGTAACGACACTTTAACCTCTCTCAGGTAAGCTACAAGAATATGCAAAAAAAAAGGGAGGTTCCCATTTAAAATTCCACAGTTACCCTCCTCCACCCTAAAGGGGGTGAGGGGGAGGGCTAACTTTTACGGAGTTGAATAGCTCCCTAAAAAATATTAAACTTTTGTTCCAAACATTTTTTTGTCCGATGCGTATTTTCCGAGAAAAACAGGTGGTCCGGGACTTTTCGAACACACTGTATGTATGTATGTATATATATATAAATTCATTTTTGCAGCATTTGTTTTATAACGAGTTATTCACCGACGCTGCGAATGAATTAGAGAGATCCGCCATTAAAACTACGACGGAAATTGAGAGTTTCGTAGCTCTCGCTGAGCGTGCGGCGGTAATCGCAAGAGACAATCGCGCGCGTGGCGACGCTCCTGAGGAATTTCGGGATCCATTGATGGACACTCTTATGGAGGATCCAGTCAAGCTACCGTCTGGTATTGTTGTGGACAAAGCAGTTATCATTAGACATTTACTCAACAGTGCCACGGATCCTTTTAATTGGCAGCCGCTTAGCGAAGATATGCTTGTGCCAAGTAAGTAATACGTGTATTGTTCATATTTTTCTCTTTTTTGATAAAGTCAACTTTCTTTTAGTCTAAATATTGGTAACATTTCATAACAATGCATTTTCATATACATAAATATATTAGAAAAATATTTGATGTGTCATAGATAATATAGTTTTTGACTGTTTTTTAAAGTCTATTGTATCGTATTGAAATTTTTTAATATCTTATGCCGATTTTAAAATATGTATATAAACTATTGTAAGTTTTTTTATCCATGTAGAAATATATCTGAAATTAATATTTATTTTCGAAATTGCAGTGCCCGATTTGAAAGAAAGGATATCAATATGGAAACAACAAAAGTTACAGTGCTAAGGTGACAAGAATTATGCACAGGATAGCTTAGCGACAGGACCATAGGTGGTCGTGTCGCTCGATTTCGGGTGGAAAAAACCCGGATGCAAGCTACGTATATTCTTTGCTTGCATTTCCGGCGCGTTGTTCTTCAAGTCTCGCGATCGCGTGGCCTCCGCGCGTGGCTCGCTTTGTCAGCGATTGCGCTCGTAACTTTATACGTCTTCCTCGGCTTCGAGTTATAGTCAGAAGACGTTAAATAATATTTAATAATTAATAATTATACTAATTTGGTTATAGCCGTTTTGGGCTATAACAAAGTATTTTATTAAATTTTAATACTTTATATAACAAACATTAAATCTGAAATAATACAGATTTATTAATATTATTTAAATATTAATATAGTCACGTTTTTAAGAAATTACTTAACATTAGTAATATAAATTTAATTTTTTTTATTAACCTCGAACACTGAGACACTTTCAAAGCGATCTTAGTTCTATGAGCCGAGAAGTGTTGTTCCTCAATTTCCTTGATGTATTTCGAAAATTTTCGGCAAATCTTACTTACAGAGACGTAACTAAGACGTTCCGAAAAAAAAACTTGCTTACAAAGCGATCTTAGCTCTGTGAGCCAAGAAGTATTGTTTCTAAATTTCCTTGATGTATTTCGAGAATTTTCGGCAAATCTCACTTACAGACACGTAACACCTTGATGTATTTTGAAAATTTTCAGCAAATCTCACTTACAAGCACGTAACTAAGACATTCTGAACAAAAGAAACTTGCGTACATGAGGAGTTTATTAAATGTTATTATAATGTCATTATAATGGATATGCTTTACTCATTATATCGAAAAAAGCTTCGAAATGTTGGTTAAACTTATAATATGTCTTTTAAATATAAATTCTGCAAGATATGCTTTATAATGATACGTACGAGTACCATAGCGCGGTAATTTAAAATTAATATTTTTTGAAATATTTACAAAAGACGTATATAAAATCTATAATTTTCATTGAAAAACGTATTTCTAATAGTTTTCTGCAACTATATGTCCTATATAAAACGATTGCTCCTTAATTGCTCCTCATTGCTTCATCATTACTTTAATGATTTATTGTATTTTTTTTATTAAAAATTAATAAATTAATCATTTTATAGTTAAATGACGATGTCATCACCTATCGGCAGCCTATTGGAACTATTGCACAGCAGCCAATGAATAGAAGGGAATATTTAAATGTAATATAACAGTTCTATTGTTTATGACTTTTTATCAAAGAGTTTAATCAATATTTTCCTTTGATCTTTTTGGCAGTTTTTTTCTACTATGTCTAATATAAAATGATTGTTCTCAAATTATTCTTTGTTGCTTCATCATTATTTTGATCATATATTGCACTTTTTTATTGAAAATTGTTAAGACGTTATCATTTATCGGCCGCCTGTTGGAACTATTGCTCAACAGCCAACGGGAATATTCAGACGTATAATTTTAAATGAAATTAGTCTATCTTGAATTTTTTCATTCAAATGGCATTTAATAGTACTCCTTTGTTAAAAGTCTTCTTTTTAAATTATCGTTAAATATTTACTTGTTCTAAATAAATTATGTGTAAAGGAGTATTGAAATAAAAATTTATCTAAATTTAATAAATTTCTTTCTGTCAACAAATAGTACATTTAATACAATTTTCAGCTGTCAGAACAGCAATATTAAATTTAAAAAATGTAATTTGTGCTACAAATTAACTTGCATATCTTTATCTAATATGAAGTGTTTAATGTTTTACGGTAAATTGTAAACTTTCTGTTTTGTTATAGTATGTATGTAATTCATTCAGCTACATATCCAAGATCCAATAAGTTAAAGTTCAATAATTGTTTTAAAAAACTTGGCATGTTTGAAAAAATGGATTCTGTTAATTCTTAAGACTTTAAGACTATTAAACCAATCAAACCTATGCAAGAATCAATAAAAATTGTTATGATATTAGAAAAGGATGTCATCAAACTAAAACTTCAATTTGTAAAGTTCAATAAAGAATCAAATCATTTTAAAAATCATTTCAAGCCATACATGGATAAAGTTTCAAAACAATGTTAATGACAACACCTATTATCATTAACCCAAAGGATTTTGTTAAATTGCAAACTTAATTTTCTTTATTTTCATCTTATTCTACCTTTAAAGATTAATCACATCAATCTAAATAAATATATACAGCCTTTTCAAACATATATTTTTTATTAAATAAAACTAATTAAAATATATTTTTTTTACATTTACATAAATATACAAACTTTAAACTTTTTCACATATTTATAATATATTTTTAATCTATACAAGATAGAAAATCATAACATAAGTTAAGAAAATAAGATTCTAGCGTTCATGAGGGACGAGTCTGCCGCCAATTATCGTGAAGTTCACGATCTTCTGCGCCAATATCTGCGTCGTTTCTCAATCCTAAGTGTTTGAGCGATTGGCATTTCAGCAGGTATTATAGGAGAGATGCTGGGCTATATTAGCAAAGCACGATGTTGGATATGCCGCAACCACAGAAGGACAGGCTTCGCAGATACTTTAGAAGCGATATCTTATTTATCATATCTTATCTATCAGGCCTAACCTGGAATCATTCCAAGGGCTGATAATCTTCCCGAGACTTAAATCGTTTAGTCCTGAAACAGATACAATTTTTCTTGTTAATTTTATTTATTTATGTAGATGTAGCATGAACACAAAATTATGTATATTGTTATGCCTCGGGTGAAGCACGGTAAATTTCGGGATCGTTGCCGGATTAAGATTTAGGAATCTGGGATGCGTCTGGCGGGTTACCCGTAGCACTGGACACTTTTTATGTTAAATAAAACTTTTATTCATTTCAAATGGTCTTAGTTATAATTCGTCCTCGTATTTATTACCTACTCGGGTCGCGTATCGCGTTATCTGACACTCGCGTGCGCGTGTTTGGAGTCGGGTTTACGTCGCGAGACTTGCTCCTCGATCTCCACGATTTTTACTGAGTGTGACTACTCGATATTACAATAATTACGTGAGGTAATTGGATAGCTGCTTCTTTTAAATGTGTTATAATGTCACTAATAGGTGTTAGTACGGGGTGCATTGTGCCCTTGCGTACATACGTAAGATATTCTATTACATCTTTCGCATCCCGAATTAAATCTGCTATCGCTGACGAGTATCCTGTAATTTCATATTAAAATGTTTCATATAACCGTCTTATCGGCTCTCATTTTATGAGTTTAAGTTTTTCTTCTTTGATATGCTCTTTTGCGAGCTGATTCGTTGCCCTTAGTCTTTCTTTCAATTCTTGCGCGTAATCGTCGTAATTATATGTCGGTTTAGGCGGTCTCGTCAGTGACGTAGGTAAATCTGCTTGGTGCCCGTGGACTAATTCGAAGGGTGTATACCCCGTAGATGTGTGTGGCGTCGTATTGTATGTGAACATTGCGAACGGTATCCATTCGTCCCAGTCGGTCTGGTCTTCGTTTATGTAGTGTCTTAAATATTCCGCTAATGTTCGATGCGATCGTTCTAACACGCCATTACTTTCCGGATGATAGGCAGTTGTTTGTATTTTATTTATTTTTAATAGTTTACATGTATTTTTAAATATTTCGCTGAGGAAATTTGTGCCTTGATCCGTTAAAATACAGCTGTTGTGGCGATGCTCGTTCTGTTGTCCTTGCGTTGTCTTCCGTCGATTATGGTTTCCGTCAGCTTACGTTTTACGTGTGCTGGCGTGCCTGCCCTGTTTACACTCGGGGTGCTTTGCAGGTCTTGGGGAAGGCATGGCTGCTTCTGTCCGTCAACTTTAATTCGATTCGTTGTTGACGTGCCCGTTTTTGAATACAGTTGTGTCTTTTTCAGGTCTTAGCGGGATGATCTCGCTGACGTCCTCTGGCAGGTCCCACCGCTGCCACCAATTTTGTTATGCCTCGGGTGAGGCACTGTAAATCTGAGTGTGACTACTCGATATTACAATAATTATCGACACTCGCTGTTGACACTTGCGACTGTTAGCGCTACTACCCACGTAATATTAATTAAGGATAAAGACTGCCCGCCGATCGTTAGCGATGGGTCTTTTTATTATTTCCCTTTGGTTTCCCAGGAGGGGATCGGTTAGCGGCAAGACCATGTGTCGTGTCGCTCGATTTTTTGCGGCAAGATCGGGATGCAAGCTAAGGAGTTCTAAGGGACTTCTTTGTAAGAGTGTATTCCAATATTCACTGCCAGTATTGTAAAATCTATAACTTACGTTACTATAGATTTTCAATACTGACAGTGGCTATCAGAATGCAGCCTATGATAGAAGGCTACAAAATATTTTTCAAAAAATATATTTATCTATTAAATAGATTATAAGATAATAAAGAACCAAAAAGTAACGATAAAAGTAACGGCTAATTCGTATTAGATTATAAAATTATTTAATAATCAATATTAAATGTAATAATCTATGTTACAATTAAAAACTCTAAATTAGTCTCTATATAGCAAGCGTTTTTCATATTAAACTTATTTAATGATTCTAATTTTTTATGTTAATATCTTTACTTTTTAATACACTTATCTATATAGGAATTTAAATTGTAATTTACAAATTCCAATTGTGTCGAAAATTAAAATAACGATAAAAGTAACGGCTAATTCGTTACCGTTACTGTAAAAATGTAACGACGTTACCGTTATCGTTACAAACAGAAAAAAGTAACGGTCGTTACCGAAAAAAAGTAACTGTAACGGTAACGATGTTACAAGTAACGCGTTACTTTCTAACCCTGATCTATGTAAAATATATGTATAATATATATTATATATGTATAATATATGTTATTATCAAAATATCTTTTTATAAGTATTGAAATTGTTTTATGCATATACGCACACATGTAAAATATTATTCTCGCAAAGAAGAGGGAAATAAATAGTAACTTTAGACTTTAAGAATAAACTAAATTTATTTTAGAATAAATCGATTATCATGATGCTTTCCAAAT